ATCTTCCACAGATGAGGCTTTGTTCAAAGAGACTAAAGGTTTTTACAGTGCCTTGTGAGCCAGCACATCACTATTTCTGAAGCTCTTCTGAAGACAGAACTCCCTTTGAAGTCAATGGGAGCTCTGTCTGAATAAGGAATTCAGGATTTGGACCTCAGGATATAAATGCTGTGATCAATCTTTTGAGTACAACAAATAACATTTTCTTGGTTTTCAGAACCATACTAAGCCAAATAGTAGCCCTAGGGATTCAAAATGGGTTAAACAGGAGAATCTGCTTTGTTTCAACCTACATCTTCATTTAGCCTTTAAATCAGCATAGTCCCCACGCCTAGTACTGACCTGCCCGAAAAAGCCCTCCAACAATAAGACCAGATGTTTCAGTAGTTTTACATTCAAACTGATCACGGGATGAGCCACTACGAAGCAGAGTTGTGTTCAATGAAAAACAAACACACTTGCTGTAGACTGACCTGTTTAGAAGTTGTGACCTGAACGTACAGTCTGGAACAAAAGACTTGGAAGCTGAGGAGTTTTTTAATTGTGTGACAGGGAGGTCTGTAGTCACTGATTTTGATCAGAACATCATAGTACCAGACACTGTGCAAACATCAGAGTTAGCGATTCAAAAAGTTGACAGTCGGGGTAGGCAAGACAGATACTCCCTGTCTCCTATTCCTTATAATTACTCTGACTTTATAGATGGAAAGTTCAACTAGGGAGAGATTATATGACCTACCCAATACCTCTCACAAAGTCTAGAATGAAACCTGACTGCCAACCCTGGTGCCTTACTGTCGAGACTATGCTCCCCCTTTAACACAATGATAACAGTATATTACATGACTTAAAAAATCATAGCTTCCCATCCCTGTCCCAGCCTTGGCGGAAATCCAGCATCCCCAGCCACCTTCCCCCTGAAACCAAAGGCCTATGTTCATCCTGTTACCTGTGATGAGAGTTTTGCCAGTGCTGACTTCAGTGGCAGCAAGTCTAGATCCGGTGACAAATGACACTGATATAGGCAGCTGTCAGAGTAGGCAGCAGAGCATCAGCAGTGTGGGGCACAGCAAAACTCTCTTGCATTTTCAGCACTCACAGGTTATCATGCAACTGGATTAATGAAATAAGGTATAAGAAAACCAAGAGAAAAGACAGATTTAAACAAGAGAAAGAAGGGAAAATACTGGAAATTCTTGTTGCCTGAACAGAAGTAAGAGCCTGAACTTTTTGCAGGCTCTCACCTTGGTGAAAACATGGGTGGAGGTGCACAGGGGAACAGCCCAGTTCCTTTCCTGGAGTCCCAGGGCTGATGCTTTAGTGTTTTGGTGGAGGAAGTCCAGCAGCTCCGGTTTCTGCCCACAGTCAGTGGAGAGTCTGAAAGAACTGTAAATAGTAAGTACTGTGTTGGTACGCATTGCAATGGGAAAATGTTAAAGCCTTCAGGTGTGTGTATATAGGGAACTGCCACTAGCAGACAGACAAGTGTTTTGAGAAGCAACTCCAAAGCTGATGAGAGAAACACAAAAAGCAATGCATTACCTGGAATACCCACTTCCCATTACCCAGAGAAGCTGTGGATGCCCCATCCCTGGAGGGGTTCAAGGCCAGGCTGGATGAGGCTTTGAGCAACCTGGGCTAGTGGGAGGTGTCCCTGCCCATGGCAGGGGGGCTGGAACTAGATGATCTTTAAGGTCCCTTCCAACCCAAACCATTCTATGATTCTATGAACATGAGCAATGGGACTCCCAGATGCAAATTCAGCATCTGGAAGAATTTCTCCACAGTATTGATAGGACTAACAAGAAGGTCTCCACTATATACCAGATATGCCCTGACACAGCTGAATCTACTTAATGTTCTGAACATGTAAATTCCTGTCCAACCTACAACTTCCAGCAGTGATGTAAACAGCCGGCTGATTCAGTTGTATTTGTAGATGGTTTCCAGGGTTTGCTTCTTTGATTTAATCTTTTTCTTTTAGTTTTATTTTTTACATCTGGATAATGAGTTCCCTTCTCTCTCCCTCTTTCAACTAGGTCAAAAACCCTCTGACTTCTGCAGTTTCTTCAAAGCCTTGGCTCTGCTCCCCTGGGTGGATTTAGTCCAGGTACCGGGCTGGTTCCTCCCTAGAGGCTTCCCGGTGCGATCCGCTCCCTTATCTTGGTTCCTGATCTTGAGGGAAGAGACAAAACAGCCAGCAAGGAGAGGCATGTAGCCTCAGCTCAAGACCACTGAGCAGTTCAATTTGTCTACCTCAAAGATGAGGACAAAGTTATGTATTTTTCCCATCAAATTTAGAAACAAAGAGATTTTTTTAGTTATAGCAAAATAGTTCCCTAAATCTCCTCTTCTCCCCCTAGGATACGGGACCGTGGTCATCCCCAGGGAGCACAGAGATTTAAGGCACTCAAGAAGAGCCCATCCTGGGGAGCTTCAAGGAGCCCTTCTACGCAGCCCACCACCACCATGGGGAGCTGGGTGGGCACAGCATGGGCTGGCAAGTCAGGAAAGACACAGCCAATGGCACAGGTGGGTGCAGCACTTCTCGGCTGCTTCCCAGAGGACCAACAGAGCAGCTCCTTCACAAGCTGGTCAGACTACTGCTACATGGTCCCAGCTGGCAGGGAGCACTCAGTTTTTAGGATCCAACAGAGTCTGAGATTGTTTTTTGATGCTTCCTTCACCCCCAGCTTGGAAACTCCCTAGGCAATGGAATTTTGTCACTTATTGGTTTTGCCCAAAGTGAAGACTACAACTTGTTTTTATCTGTCCTATTTGCACATATCTTTCTTGGGGACATGTATAAGATGAGGCTGGAGGAGCTGCTGTGTGATAAATTCAGACACAATCCCACTTTTTACTTGCCAGAATACCCTCTTCCCTTGCATTTGAGGACTGTAGGATAAAAAATTACATATATAATCAAAGGACATATGTTAAGATCCTATCCGCTCTATGAATTATAACTATGTTGTACATGGGCATTTTGATTTGATGCAGCAGTAGCTGAGGCAGCCTCTGGGGTAGTACCACCAGAAACAAATTGTGCTCTCTCCGGAGCACTGTGAGATATGAAACAATTTCCTGAAATAAGTCTGCTGACATCCAAGATGAGGCTGACAGTGGCTCCCAGACTGCAGAATATGAATGAAACTTGTATTCATGCCAGCTGTGTTAGAGATCCAGTACAACACACTGTATATCAAACAGAGGAAGGATTCATCTAGGGAAAATAATTTCAGCTTCCAAAGAGAGACTAAAGAAGGCTAATAAAAAATATTTTTTCTTAATAGGCCTTTGTTCAATCTTGCTTTAATCTTCAATAACTGGTATCTTCACACATTATAACACTAATGATTACCTTTGTTTTTCATTCTTACTGACAAAGAAATGAAATACACAGTACATGTGTTAACAAGAGTATGTTGCAGTCTTAGGAGCGGTGCAACAGTGGTTTCCAGATGGAAACCCAGCTTAGAACTAGGCAAATGTTCACCTGCATTAACTCTTTGTTGCTTTACTGTTTAAGAAAAAATCAGTGAAAGACAACCTGGGTTAGAGACATAAAAAGAGAATGAAAACATGCTCTCCTTCAGATTGCTTCCATCACCACATTTAGATCGTGCTAATCTCTTCTTCGTGAAGCACAGCAGCTCCCTTGCAGCTGTGTATGAAAACAGCTCCTCTGAGTTTCCACCTCAAGCGAAACACATGGGTAGAGCAAAAGACCTGACATGAGGAGCCCTGCGCTCTGTTTTCAGCTCTGCCACTAGAATGACATGACAGGGGGTAAGGCATTCAGTGCCTCTGTGTGTCAGCCCTTCCCAGATTTCATCAGCTGATGAAGTGTGTTGATGACACAGAGCTGGGATATGCAGTAAGACAGAGGAGTGGCAGGACACTGGACAAGAGGAAACCAAACTTGATAGAGAGTAGAAAAACAGAAACGGGGTCAAAGGGGTGGGACACAAAGTGCAAGATGGTGCCCTTGGAGACCAGACCACAGAATCTTCTCCTACAAGCTGAGACCTCCTCAGATGAGGGCAACCACTGGTCACTTGCTAGAATATGATGCACAAGGCAAGAACTTGAGAGGAAAGAGCTCGAACTCAAGTTAAAGGATAACATTAGAGTAACACTCGAGAAAATTATTAACCTAGAAATGAGAAGAGCAGTGAGGTCTGCAGTTGTCTTCTAGCAAGGCTAGTTGAGACACATATTCCACACTAACATCTTTCAAAAAATGGTGCTTCATTAGTTTATGAAAATCAAATATGAAAGGGGAACTGTTTATTGCCTATAGTAACAGAAATGTTCTCAAGGACTACTTTGTAAATTTGACTACAGCAATGGTTTGAATGATACCTGCATGTTTAAAATGGAAGCAAAATACCATGTGCCGATGGATGAGTAACAATGAATGGAACTAACTGGTCCAGTTTAATCGCCTACAGTAAGCAAAGAACAAATATTTGACAAAAACTAGAAATTGTAGAAAGTTTATTTGATCTATTATATTATTTAGAAAGTAATAACCTACCTGGTGCCTTACAAATTAAACACAAACAGGGATTACATTTAAATATAAAAGCTTTATCTTAGTAGTCTGCCTTCACAATTTTAGTCATCTTAAGTACTCGCTCACATACTTATTACCCACTTTCACAAGTCTCATTTTCCATTAGTTTTTCAGAAGCAATCATAAAGTCATTTCTTGACTCCATTACCATTATTTTTCCTGTTATTTTTCAAACCAAATTCCATTATTTCTTTTCCAGACCTTACACATTATTTCTGTCAAGAGCTCTTTTTCTAGGTGTGAATATATTTCAATATGTATACAGAACCCAAGGAACTATAGCTACACAGATTTTATTTTAATTATAAGCACAAGGTCACAAGCTGAGCTTTATTATACTTTAAGATACATATTTCAACTAATGGTCAAGCTACACTACTGCTACCAAAATGCATCACAAACACTACAGGGGAAGACCTTAACTTTCATCTACTATCATCTTTGAAATGTACTCTCTGTAGTGAACATTATTTGTTTCTGGATCTAGAGCCATGGAGAGCATGTCCTCCATTTCTTCTTCAGTAAAGGGTTCACCTGAAAAACAGAAGAAAATAACACTTTGTTTTGATAAATATTATTTTCAGGGCTGGCAAATTATACTGCTTTTCCCTTGCGAGATCTCCTTTCTGTCCTCACACAGAGGAGAAAAGGGACAATACTAAGGATCCAATTCCTTCACTTTTACCAGTGTAAGTCCTGCACACCAAGCCAGCTGGTCTAAGGGAAAGGAGACAAGGGGCCTGGATCTTCTGATCTCCTTCTCATTCACAGACTCCAAAACAGCCACAGATATTCCAAAACAACCATTTTTGTCAGAGTTAATTCTTCTAATGTAAACATTAGAATTATTATCTCTTAATTGGCTATCTTTTCACTTGTATTTACATCATGAAAGGTTTCTGTTTTTTTCTCTTTTAGGAGCTTCAAAGCTGCTGATGGCCTACTGCATCCCTCTTGAGAACAAGGTCCCCATCTGAGCATAGGTCTTGCGCAAAGCCCGCACATCGTTTGGACTTGAGGCAGGCAGGCATGAGTCAGCCATGGAAGAAAAGCAGGCTCTTCAAGGGATATTGAGGATTACATGACATACAACTTAAATCTGATCTTTGAATCTCTTTGTTTGCGTACGGCTCTAGAATTAAGATGAAGATAACACTGGAATGAACGAGCACTGAAACTACCTGAAACATATGGAAATCCAAGCTGCAGTTTTACAGAAGGGCAGAAAAATGGCACAACCTTAGGAAGCAGAGAAATGTGCACAGAATCACAAACTATCCATTTAAGATTGAATTATGACTCTTAATAATCTCTATCTTATAATGTCTGCAAGCCAGCAGATAAATGTTCTTTCCCTGCATTATTCACCAGTGAAATGTTCTAGTCTGCAGCCACTCATCATGGCAAGAGCATTGTTTGAACACAATGTATCTACTCCCACAAGTTTTGGCATGCAGAATGAGGACCTCAAGGTGCCATATACAGATGTAATGTTTATTTACTTAAATACTGATATTACAAAAGTCATGTTACCTTCTTCAGTCAAATATCTGACCAGCTCCTCTTTGGTAATATATCCACATTTCTTCTCATCCAAAGCCTTCAAAGAAAAATAATAAAACTTGTGGTTTTAACTATATTGAATCAAAAATCAGCAACTTCTTTCCAGCAATTAGGTACTTGAATATTTAGTTACAGACCTCAAATGCATGTAGAAGAACATCTTCTGGAATAGGCCTGAAGCTGAAACCATTGAAACAGAAAAGTTAAGTCACTTTTTGCCAGGCTACTATTTTGAAAGAATAAAATACTAAAGGGAAGGGAAAACTTATTTTCTATGAGAATTTACTAAGTTTGTCTATCAAACATTTAATTCCAGCTTGACTTTTTGGAACTTCCATATCTTTACCTCTTGCATCTATTACTGTACTCCTGTTCAATTCTCCTTGTGCTAAGGAGCCAGACGAACGGCTTCTGCATGTCTGGGCTGGCTGAGTGGGTTAGTAGGAATCAATAACAGCTGAATCATTCCACGTAGCCAATGCACTGAACAGAAGATGGCCAAACCAAGAAAACAAAGTTTTGCGCAGGTACGCTGGTAGCTACGCAACAGATCGCCTAGTGGGATATTGACAGTCTAATGAGCTGACGATGAAGCCCTGTGCAGCAATGGAGACCTTCCCAGTCCACATCCAGGCACAGGAACAAAGATTCTCAAACACAGCCCCGAGGTGGGCCCTACTGCCTCTGGATGCTGTGAGACAGTTTTGGAAAATCCTATAGCTGTTTCCTGTGTAGAACAACCTCCTACCAAGGGCCCTCTGTGTGCAAAATAACTTCTCAGTATTGGACAAGAATGAGTCTCCCAAAACTCTTGGCTGCCATCCTTTAAAAGAAAGACAAATTCCTTATAAACAATTTTGCTTTTAGTGCAAAATATAAAAATAGCACAAGTTCCTGTGTATATGCAAAGATTTCTATGTACCTTTCAATAATGAGCAGCATTTTTGTTCTAGACTTTTAGATTGGCAATCTCTTAGAGTGCTAGTTGTGTACATTCAATTGTACCTGGCAGTCATTTTGAGACACAAATATGAAGCTGATTAATACAACTTATTAAAAATACACTGTAACAGACTGTGCTTCTCAGTAACTGTAACTCACATGTTCAGAGAAATTAATGGTTATGATCTTAATTTGCATATAAAATATTTCAGAGATGCACAAAACATGTTGAATAGCAAGTTAATTCTGATTCACTTTAAAAATACAAAAGCTGCACATTATCACAATTTGTGATTATAAGCTGTTATTATTTACATCATCTGTACAACATACTTTTATGTAGACAAAGTAATTTTCAAACAAAATCTATCAAGCTAATGTAAACTGAGTTTAGATAACAAAAAACTGTACTCCTTCCAGCTATATCAAATTACTGTAAATAAATTTATTCAGAATCAACCCCGTCAATCTGGAATAAACTACAGACACAGAAAATCCACTTTCCATTACCTTCTGTCGAGTAGTACTGTTGTCATCACTGGAAGAAATTTTTCCAGATGAATGTATCCGGTTGGTTCTTCTTCTTCTACCTAAAAATAAAACCTAAGTATGGCAGGTTATATGACTCATTAGCAAAGTAATATGAAAACCAGAAAATTGGGCTGGTTCCTGCATTAAATTTAGAGTTAGACTTTGAATATTTATATCAGGTTTTTAATACCACATGGCACTGTAATATCTGAGTGAAATGCTTGTGATAAAATAGAAAGAAATCAGAGGAAGAAATAATATCCCAGGCAAAATACAGGCCTGCTATTATAGACACTTTCAACAACTCGATATTGCCCTCTTGTGCTTAGAAACCATTCATGCAAAGGAACTGGACGCCTGGTAACTGATTTTATCTCCCACAATAACGCAGCAGAGGTTTAAACATTCAGACTGCATTCATCCTAGTAAAGTCCAGCAGGACCTGGAACATTCCCAGGCAGTGTAACGTGACCACCCATAATGGCAAACCATTAGCACATTCCCTGGCATGATTTTAGCCTGTGCCACCTAACACTCCCCCCTGGCAGTCACCAGCCCTGCCCAGGACCTTAGGGACTGTTCTCCAGCAGGCTGCTTTGGGCAGCCACTCCACAAAAAACATTTACTAGGGTAGACACAAGCCGCTCTGTGCCAGCTGCCTCCAACACCCAGGGATGTTTCTGGGCACACTTAATGTGCTAGTTTGGACATAGACCTGGTCTAGTACACCTCAAGGATGGAATTTGTTGCCTCCACATGTTTCATAGCCAGAGAGAGTCGTCAGGGGAAGGACCAGAGAGGCAGGCAGACTGAGTCAGGGCAGTCTGAAACAGTCATAAGGCAGCACATAAAACATTACACAAAGAGAAGCTTCCCTTTGCCTCCCAAATAAACTAACAGATCAGTCCCAAAACAGCAGGGACTTCTAGCAGCATTCCCACTGCATTCCTGTACTTCCACAGGAGATGAGCAACTGCTCCCTATCATCCCTGTGCATCCCTTCCCTGAAAACTTCAAGTTTTACTCCCAAAAGGAGCCCTCTTAATGGAGCTAGCCTGTTCCTGTCTGTGTTGAAACTGGATGCATGCCTCGTGGTCTCACACGGCAGCAGCAACACCTTGCTGGGCTCTCCACAGACACAGCTCAGACTGAAAGAAGACTCCAGTAGGCACTGATTTGAAATTTCCCAACTGAGCCAGGTAAAGATGAAGTAAGAAATCTTCCTCTTGAGAGCTGGACCAGAGCTGGGGGGTGATGCCTGATACATCCCATTGCTTAAATGTAGAGCTGCAACTGCTGCTGCATGCTCTTTTCCACTGCTCTTGAAGGGTTTTGGTTGCTAAAACCGGGCAGCCACCACCTCTTACTGCTTTAGAGTGGAAATTGGCTTGAAAAAGCACTTTTTCCCTTCCTTTTTGGTGAGCCTAGCTGAAGGGCTCTTTAGCAAGGAAATGAAGCTGTTGCATGCTTCATGCTAAATCAAATGTTACCTTTTACCATTACAGAATCATTTGGTTTAGTGATTGATTGATTGATTGAAAATATGTAACAAAATATCTGGCAAAACTTAACTTCTTTCCAGTGACACAACAGTTAGTCAATACACTGAACTATTCCATGCATCACAAATATTGAGATGTAAAGGTACACAGGATGTTTTAGGGTACATCTGTGCTTCCACTAGTATTTGGTCAGAAGTCCACAGAGACAGAAAAAGAAATATGGTAGCTACTTATTGGAAATAGATAGATGCATCTTATTTTAAGCAGAACAACCAAAAGCAAGGACCCAAAACATCCATGAAGACGATAAGTTATATAAACCATGTTTAAGAGACAAAAAACATTACATCTGCTCATCCAAACAGTTGAAGGTCATCCTTATTTTCATACCAGAAGAACTCACCAGCAATGACCACTTCACAGCTCAACGTAACAAATACCTGTGAAAGTGTCAGCCTCACTGATATATATAATCCAAATTTGTCTCTTTTTGTTGGTATGCTATTTGTATTTTGCCTTCAGAAAGCAATCTGTGGAAGTAACAATTCTGTCCTGACAATGAACCTAGTCCTGGGAGGTAATGAGCAACCTCAGCTTCCTCTGACCTGGAAAGAACAGCTTCCATTTCAGCAGTATCTGTAACTGTTAAAATTAATCCTATTTCTAACATTGGATAGATATATGAAAAAATTGAATATATCAACCTCACCTAAACCAGTAAGTATTCAGATTTGCAGGTATATGTATCCTCTTACTCTTCCTCATGCTCACTCCTGTCCACTCTTCCTCCTCTTTGCACAGTGACTGTGACAATATCAGTATTTGCTTGTTCAAACTCTGAGTTTTGCTCTATCTCTTTCCTTTGGGTACATCCACAGCTCCCATAACAACTGCATTGTAGCACCTATTATGTTTCGTATCTCTACTCTCACAAACATACTATTATTGTCCACATTTGGGGACTTGACTCACAAAGAAACAAAACCATTTTCCAACGTTAACCAGGAGATCTGTGGCAGAACAGGGCACAGAACCTGAGATTTCAAACTCCAGGCATTGTAATAACCCGCAGATTAGCTTTCACTATCTCGAGGCTTATCATTTAATCTTAACTTTGTAAGTAGGCCTAAAGATACACTATTAAGTACAGCATTTAGCATAAGGCAATATAGGAAACAGTATATGATAATTTTTAGAGATAAAATAATTATATGAATGCTGATTTGGCAGATATGAATAATTTAGAGGCAACATATGCTAGTTTATTTATAATAAGGCTAATAGGAAGAGATGAGATGACCAAGAGACATAAGTCATGAGAAAGAGAACTGAAACACAGCCTACAATGGGCAAAAATACTAAAGAAATAGGTTGGTTACAAACCAGCCAACAAAGACAACTTTATCTAGATTAAGATAAAATGGTATTACCATAGTCAATCACAATGGCATCTTATATAAATTAAGATATATTTGTGATTAACATAATATAGAATCACAGAATCATAGAATCATTGAATTATAGAACGGTTCGGGGTGGAAGGGACCTTAAAGATCATCTAGTTCCAACCCCCCTGCCACGGGCAGGGACACCCTCCACTAGCCCAGGTTGCTCAAAGCCTCATCCAGCCTGGCCTTGAACCCCTCCAGGGATGGGGCATCCACAGCTTCTCTGGGCAACCTGGGCCAGTGCCTCACCACCCTCACAGTGAAAAATTTCTTCCTAATTAATGTCTAGTCTAAATCTCTTTCAGTTTAAAACCATTGCCCCTCATCTATCCCTACACTCCCTGATACAGAGTGCCTCTCCATCTTTCCTGTAGGCCCCTTTAAGTACTGGAAGGCTGCTGTAAGGTCTCCCCGGAGCCTTCTCTTCTCTAGGCTAAACCAGCCCAGCTCTCTCAGCCTGTCACTATACTGTCAATATATTAAGGTTTGTCAATATATTAAGGGTTCTACAAGAAGATACTGTTCTTCTGGTACTAAACTTATGTCAAGGTTTCGTTTACAGGCACCACGAAACCTGCTTTGAGATTTAACTTCCAGTTCAGTGTTCTTTAAGTGTTGTTTAAAAAAAAAAAAAAAAAAAAAAAAGTCCCATCTCTTTGGTAGGGACAGGCAGGCCTTAAACTCTCCTGGTTCCCCTGGACTGGGGAGGTAGCATCAAAGCATCCCCTTCCCTTTCTCAATTCTGTATCTTGAGTCAGTTGCACTGTTCATTTGCTGCAAACAAAAATCTCAGTGGGCCACTAAAAATATCATCTATATTAAGCACCATAATTTCTCTTTCCATTTTGTCTTGTTTGTCAGTGGGAGCTGGGACAATCTGGTACTGAGAGTCCAGAACCAGACCAGGGAGACTGCAGCATCACGTTAAAGGATCTTTCTCCTCCGGTGCTTCTTTGCACTTCCTCAACTGAAGCAGCTGCATCATTTTCACAAGACTTAGCATAAGACTTCTCACACTAAATTCTGATCTACAAAAGACCATACAAGCCTACTGAGGAGAGACTGCTACTGCACCCATCCAAATTTTTGTTGGGGACAGGAAGAAAAGAGTATGAGAGATCAATTCTCAGTATCCTGACCTACACATGAAAAAGAGAAAAATCCTTCCCCCTCCTCTCAGCATGAGCATCTTCCATTCCTTAAGGCAGCACATCAGTTTGCAAAAAGATCAAGTCTTTTTCCCACTTTGTCCCATTTATTAACCATACCCTGTCAAGGCACCAGGACACCATCCTTTCTATTACAAGTATCAGGTAAGGAGACAAAAATTAGTGTAGGAAAAAACTGCGGAGAAATGTGTTTGAAGCTGTGATTGCATATCCCTGGGAGAAGGGAGGATCGCTAGGTCTTGCAAGGTTTTATGTCTGAATTCTGACTTACAGGCTTAAGGAATCCCGTAAGAAAAGGTTACTTACCTATAACTGAGAAATCTCAAGACTGAGAGAGACCTCATGAAGGACAGAAAGTTGAGAGGTCTGGCTATAAGATAGCAATAACAAGACCCAAAGAAAAAATCAGCAGGTCTTCCCTCTGTGTATTTTTGGAATTTGATGTATAATTTTAACACCTGCTTAAGAAATAATTTTAATTACTTAATCATCCAGTATGTGTCTATGTCCAGAAGAGTGAGATGGTTAGGGTTTGGATATCTTAATCCCACTGATGTTTAGGGCATTCTTTTTCACTAGCCAAAACCAATCTTTCCTCCATTTTCTATAAATGCCCCTCCACCTTGGCACAGTGTCACACTGACCTTCTGGGGTAAAAGGGAGTCAAAGTCTCCTCATTTTAACCCATCAACGTCGTTACCTCACCAGCCTAAAGGCTTGCTTTGGGGCAACCTGAGGGACTGCCAGCCTTCCTGAATCACTTCCATGACACTTCCAACCTCTAGGAAAAGAGCTTAGGTTTCCCACACAGCAAGGCAGAAGGGCCAAACTTGGGCAAGTTTAAGATTGAAAAAAAATACAAAGATCTAAACATTTACCTTTGAAAGAAGCTCATGTAGTTCTGCCTCAGTTGGGAAGCAACCCAGTGACCTGACAATTGCACCAATCTCTCTGAAAGAAAGGAAGGGAAGGAAGGGAATGAGGGAGGGAGAAAAAAAAAACCATTTTTGTCAGTAAATCTGCCATACAAGAGTGTCTGTGGAGAACCCAGACATCAATTCAGAGTTTGTGTATAGGAGTGTGCACGTACAAGCACACAAGCACGCACAAGCATATGCATCTGAACTTTTAAGATGACGTCTCAGTAAGCAATGTCTATTTTTACAGACACTAAATATTCCAGAGCTTTTTGAAAGATCATAATTGTTCTTGTGACTTTCCCCAAAAATTCTTCTTTACCACTGGATTGCAGTGTACTGTGTGCAGGTTACTTTTCAATGGCTGTCCTCTAATTGTTAAGCTTAATTTCAGCAAAGTCTACACTTATATAGTTAATAAAACACTTGGAAACCTACTGAGATGAAAGGGAACAAATAAAATATATGTTTACATTAAATGCTATAAAGAGACAAATTCTAACCGCAGTAAAGAACAATGACAAAAGGTCAGGAAGAAGGCAGCCCTGCTATGCCCCTGCTGTGCTCTGAAAGAGTCAAACAGACCAACACAGTGGCTTATCACCACCCTGTTTATGCTGCAAAATGTATTCACAGCCTGCATTTACTGCAAGTTGTTCTGAGGCTCTAAATAAAATTCTGACCAAATTGGCAATGCCTCAAAAAAGTTTAAGATTAACAAGATCAGACTAGAAATAGAAGTACAGTAAAGCTGTAAAAAAGAGTACTAATGAAACATGGTATGATTGAAAACAAAATAACAGGAGCATTGATATTGCTTGTGATTTCCAGTCCAATTTTATAACACAGAAACTCAAGCACATTTGAATAAGTATCCACAGTGCTGGTGGATCCTATGATTCAAACCTCTGTGGTTTCTTCATCTTCACCAGTACATTTGGTGGAAAAATTAGACTGCCCAACAAAAAATGCTAGATACAAGAAGCAATGACCTTTTTAAAATCACCTTAGAACAGTAAGGCCCCAAACGTGGCACACCAAGTACAGGTAAAATTATACGGGTCGGTCTTTGGCTTCCCCAGGCAGGTCCCAAGGAGCTCCCATTCTGATCGAAAACATACAAAAAGCACTACAATAGACAAAAGATAGGAAAAGGCTGGCTGCACAAAAATAGTTACAAAACAAAGCCCAATCCCACACATACAGTTGTTATGAAACAAAGCCATCTGCTCAGATGACTCAGTGAAACCCCTGCCCCCCGTGGACGTGAATGGAGGTTTGGCCATTGGCCTCAATGAGGTCAGACACTGAGTCATATTTTTATAATCCTTGTCCATGCATCCTATTTCTGCTATAGATATACTGTATTTGATGCTCTCACTCTTGCTCTTCCTCATCTTTTCCAGCTAAAAGATACTTGTAAATATTCTCTGCCTCCCCCAGAGAAACACCCAACCCAAATCACGCCTCACTGCTTCTGACCTTAGAGGCTGCCAGAGAGGGGACGGCTGCCACCACCTCCTGCCTCGCCTCACGCTCAGCAAAACTGGGCTGTGACTAAGGTAAGCCAGGCCCTGAAAGAGTTTGCAAACCTGGCATTGCTGGCTGCTGTTTCTGACAGTCCATGCATGTGCCAGCACGAGGATGCTGGCCAAGTGTCTGTGGTCAAAAAAGTCATGTCACATTTAGTAATAACACGGAGTTTAAAAGACCCAGATAGGAAACTCTGTTTTCCTACCGGCCTCTTTTCCTCTCAGTTCAGCAGCTGCAGTTTCTGCTGTGTAGTTTCTAGCATAAAAAATGATGGTTAAAATGAGTTTGTGTTCATACAGGTTTTGTAACACAGACACAATAAAATTTTGGGCCACAGCTTTCACCCTACATATAACACCTTCAATGACAAGATTTGTAAAATCACGAAAGCCCTTGACTCGGGATGTGTTGTAAGCAGCATGAAACAATACTGTCTTCCTCATGCTTTATTTCTTGCTAACTTGTATTTGTATTAGAAGTCACGCAATACTGATGTTGGCCTGCCAAGTGAGGGTAATTTTCCATATTCTTCACAGGAATCTGATACTTCAGACAATAACATTCATACGTCTACAACTGCGGTTAAGAATTGTGCTGTACTGCCACCTTCTGATACAAGATAACCAGCCATCAATAATGTCAGTATTGTGACACAGTCCTGCAATATGAACCTAGAAATAATTAGGCAATAAATCATTGTTCATTGTCAGTACCTGTACTATGATAAAAATCAGTGTGAAATTGTGCATTTACTATGTTAAACAGACTTTTGAATGTCCGCTCTCACATGTTACAACTGTCTGAACAAATAATTTTTTTTAAAAGTCTATTCACATAATTTCATTGTTGTAGTGCAGCAAATTTTACACCTATTTAGCCAGGACTGCAGATGTAAATGACAAACAAATAAGCAACTAGTATGTCATGGTGCAGTGAGGGCTAGGGGCTCCTCAGGGCTGGGGGGCGTGGTAGTGTCAGGGGCACCCCAACAAGGGTGACAGGGCAGGGCTGGGCAGCCAGGACTCGTCCCACTGCCCTGCCAGGAGTGGGGCAGCCGGGGGGCACCAGGGCAGCCCCAGCCCCAAGCATCACGCACCCCCTGGGGATGGGCCAAGAAATTTAAGTGAGTGCTCTTCCCAAAGAGCCCTATGGGCAAGGGAACAGCAATTGTACTGAGTGTGGAGACGTATCCTGAAATTCTCCCTATCTAGTATAACTGAAAAATCATTCAACTTCTATGAAATACTCATCATTTCTTAAATTTAGAGGAATTAGTAAGCATGCTTTGCTAAAACCATCACATAAATATTTTGCACTTCTGTCACCTCTGTTTTACAATGTAGAAAAGATGTTTGGAACATTTGAAGATGTTTTCTGATTTGGTTTTGTGAGGAATGTCTAATGACAACAATTTCATCAGTGCTCATCCTCCTTTGTAGTGCTTATACTCAATAATTTATTTACAGTTAAAAGCTCTGGTGATACGCTTGTGAAAATAATAATTGGAAATATGAAAAATTACTTCAGTAAACCTTAATGACAACAACTTATAGCAACTTCAGAACCTGCTCAGTGACATAAACATGTGTTTTATGTATTTTATAACAAAAGCAATATTGGCATGTGTATGGATGTTTATGTCAAAACAAAGTTTAAGTAGCACTGTCAAACACTCAAACTCAAAAAATACTCGAATTAAGATTATTTAGGAATTTTTAAATTTGACTTCCTTTAGCTCTGTAGCCAGTTATGCCCCGATCAGTCTAATAGTCCATGGTTTTACCTTCCAGTGAACTTTTTCTTACTCCCTCAGACTTTTGCTTGTATTTCCACAACACTGCATGCTACAGGTACAGTGCATGCAGTTCTCCCTCCTGACTCCCAGCTGTGCATCCCATTCCCCCAGTTCTGGTCGTCCCATTTCAAAAAAGAGAAAGCTGTGCAAGAAGGAGCACAAAAAGGAATGGCCAGAGCTAGGGAACAACATCTCCTATGAGATTAAACACATACAGTTTCTTCAGCCTTAAGCTACTGTGATGGAGGATGGATGTGACAGACAGCGATGAAATCATTAATGGTGTCAAGAAGATTAATAGAAAACAATTGCTCACTGTTTATCATAAGAAAAAAAAACACCCTGGCGCCACTCAAATCATAATGCAGCAGATGTAAGAAAACAACAAGAAATACTGCGTATCTGCTCAATTCCTTATATTCCTCTCGCAAGTAACTACTAGTAGCTCAGATGAGGGTACTGGGCTAAACGGACTTTTGGTGCAATCAAATATGATCATCTTTATGTTCATATTCTTAATATTAATAATAATAATATTAGTATTCTCAAATAATATTAATAATAATAATATTAGTATTATCAAATTATAACCAAGTTTATTCCAAGTCTCCTAAAAACACCTCCCTGTCAGAGAAATATCCACCTCCCACATTACGCCAGAAGAAGAGGGATGTGCAGGAGCAATGCAGTTGGAGACATCTACTCAGAGCAGGTAACTGTGACACACACTGGATGGGACCATCCTGAAAGCAAGGGGATCCATATGGGATCCAAGATCTCTAGTGCTATCAGAGCAGAGATTTGCAAGTAATAATAGTAATAGTAATAATTTGCATGAAGCCTTAGACTTCTTGTCTAGCTGCAGTTTCCTCTTTCCCCTTTACACCACCAGTCCCAGCATCCCTCTCTAAAGTCAGTTTCAGTCTTCAACCACTGAACAATGCAAAATATCTATTAAAAAAGCACAGACATAATTGTCCAATCAGAGACAAAAGAACTGTTTCAATTACATTTTCTGATGAAGCAGATGCAGATTTAGGGAGTTATTTATCTCTGTATTAGATCCCATAATATTTCTACATGAAGATATTTACAAACCTGACATCCACAGTTTTACTGCCTTCATGGTCAAACACTTCAAAAGCTTCTATAATCTTTTTCTCAACTTCAGCTACTGAGCCATCTGCAAAAAGAAACATAAGAAAAGAAAGATTCACTGAGCTGTTGCAACTGGTTTATTTCCAATTTGAGAATTGTGGCAGCAGAAGCACCAAAACTGATAAAGGGGCAGACAGGAAAGGTACTTCGAAAAAGCAGAAGTTATTCTGGAAAAAAAACACTCCAAATACAGAATCTGTCATTTATATTAGAAATATGGCCTTGCTATGGCCCTGCAGCTACATCAAGTCTGGTTGGTAATGGTGCATCTCAGCCGCATGATCATACACGTCCAGGTATGGATGCTGCTCAGTGTGCCACAGCTCCTTCTGGACCATGTGCCTGAGCCCTTCCTGGACACCACGGTGGCAGTGGAAAGAGGAAGGCGAATGTGGGCCCAGGCTTGCCCTGAGATAGGGCTGAGTCACTTCATCCAGGTTCCTGCATCCAAGGAAACAAACACAGGTCCTGGACACCACGGTGGCAGTGGAAAGAGGAAGGCAAATGTGGGCCCAGGCTTGCCCCGAGACAGGGCTGAGTCACTTCATCCAGGTTCCTG